CAGGTGGGCCTGTGGTGTGCTTGAATGCTTCTCCCTCAAATGTGACTCCCCCCCCACACACACACAGAAAACTAGCATGTCTGGAGGGGGGAGGTGTCTAGGTTCAAAATTCTCCCTAATGAGCTAAGCCAAGCCCAAGGTCTCAAGTGCTACAGTCATACCATTCTGCCGCATGCCTCGATCAACTGTCTGGCCTCAGAGCATGCTCTTAAACCATTTCACGAGGGGTTTGGGGGTAACTTAAGGCTATTGTTATTTCTGGGCTTAACCCCCACCCTGTGACGGCACTGTATATGTGGACGGGCCAGTCTCAAAATAAGTAGGGCCTTTTGCCGGACGTAAGCAGGGCGGTTCTCTTGCCAATGCTAAAGCGGCTCCAAAGTCATAATCTTAGTTTTATTTGGGGTGGGGGGGTGTTCTGTTTGGGGAGGGACGTAATGTCTGCTACCCCCTTGTTCCACTTTGAATGTACAAGCAGCATGTTATGTATAACTTCTTTTCTTAAATAAAGGTTTGTTTGGAATCCTTCTGGCGTTGAGTGATTGGGGGGGGGGCTGAATGAAACAGTTGGATAAGGGGGAGAGGAGTGGCGGAATTTTCGAAGAGTTGCCAGTAAACTGGCTGCTACAAGGACGTCTTCACATAGGAGTTCCTCTTGGCTTCTTTGCCTCCCGTAGTACGCTTGGCCGGGGGCTGGAATGTTGCAAAGCTGTCTGAGGCACAGATGGTCGCTTAGCAGGCAGGAAATAGTCGCTTCCCAGTATTTTGTTGTGTGGATCTTTGAGCTGTGTTCAGGTTGGCAGCTGTAGAAGTCCCAGGACATGGGCCGCTACCATTTTGGTCAGCATTTCCCCCCTGAAGATGTCATTGTTAGACTTCCCCCTCCCCATGGCAGGCCCTCACTTAGGGGCTCTTCCACATTATCACTGCTTGTGTTCCCCCCCCCCCCCCGTTGGTTTTTTTTGAGGGGGAAGTTCCTTTCCACGTGTTTTCCTCCCTCTAGTGGTTGATTCTATATTACATTGTAGTACGTCTGGCAAATTACCCAACAAAACCGCAGGGAAATATGCTGGACATAGAGTGATGTAATATCGAATTGACCACTAGAGGGAGGAAAACGCATGTGGGAAGGGGGAGGGAATGAAGCACTAGGAACACGCAAGTGAGAAAAGTGAAAACGCCTAAGAGTGGGTTTTTGGCACGGATGGTGCAGTTGGCCTTCCCCAGCCAACTTGCACTCCACCTTTTCTGTTGAAGCGAAAAGTCCGCACCAAGCCCACATGTCCCTCATCCTCCCCGCTGTTTCACTTCAATCTGCCACCCTGAGATCTTGGAGAAGCTGCAAGAGACTGTGGTCAGGTTTGATCCAAGGCCAGGCAAAGGGAGTGGCAGGCCGCCCCTGGGAATGGGGGGCTACCATAGTCTCCATCCAGGACAGGAGGAGGATTCACGAGTCAGTTTGGGTCTAGCTTCCCTCCAGGCCTCGGCTGGAAGGAGTAAGTGACGAATGGGGGAAAACCAACCCCTGAGTGTCTTCGGTGAAGATAGTTTCAGAGAGGAGCCCGCAGTAGAACGGGGAGACCCAAGTCCAGTCACACCTTGGAGACCAACAAGATTTTTGGGGTATGAGCTTTCTGAGAGTCAAAGTGCTCTTCAAAGCTTATACTCTCAAAGGCTTAGAACTGTAGAGTTGGAAGGGATCTCCAGGGTCATCTAGTCCAACCCCCCGCACAATGCAAGAAGTTCAGAAATACATCCCCACACACACTCCCAGTGACTGCCGTTCCACGCCCAGAAGATGACAAACTTCCAGGATCCCCAGGCAAACCGGACTGGAGAAAAATAGCTTCCTGACCCCAAAATGGTGATCAGCATTTCCTTGGGAGTGTTAGAAAAGGCCAGAACTAAGCACTGAGGTCAACCCTTCCCGCCCTCCCTCTTGTGATCTGCCAAAGTTCACAGAATCAGCATTGCTGTCAGACGGCCATCTAGCCTCTGCTTGAAATACCTCCAAAGAAGGAGAGCCCACCACCTCATAAGCTGCTCCTGGACTAAAATCAACCCGAGAGTTTCTTTACCTGCAGCCTTTGTTGGAGCTGTGGGTGATCGGTTATTCTGGAGGGGAAAGACCCTACTAATCAGCACTCAACGGCATCGTACCCACGAACGGGTCATTTCCTGCAGGAGCAGAGCACCGGCAGTAAAGAGCCCAGGGGGCGGGCATATGCAACAATTTATTTATTTATTTAATTGCATTTATACCCCGCCATCCCCGCGAACGGGCTCACCCGAGAACAAGCCCCACCCCCTGCTCCCAGCAGCCCTCAGTCAGAGCAAGAAGCAGGCAGGTAAGTTGCAGTGCCTCCCCGGTCCATAACAGTCCAGTGGCACCTTTAAGACCAAGTTTTATTCAGGTACCAGCTCTCCCTCCTCTGCGAGGACAGATCTGCAGGGTTCCCCCCCCCCCAATAGCTAGCAATCCATAACAGTCCAGTGGAGCCTGAGCAGTGGGTGTTGCCTTCTGACACACTTCTGGTGATGTCAGGGGGTGTGTCATATGCAAATGAGTTATGCTAATGAGCTCCTGCATCTCTTTTTCTACAAAATGACCCCCTGCCCATGAAACATTAAGGTTTGAGTGCTGTGTTCTCACAACAGCCCAGCAGGGTACAACTAGGTGCTGAGCAGAGGAGGGAGGAGGGGCCATGGCTTACTGGAAGAGCCTCTGGTTCTGGAAGCCGAAGGTCCCAGGCTCAATTCCCAGCATCTCCAGTTAACAGGCCAGGCAGCAGGTGATGTGAAACCTCTGCTGGAGACCCTGGGGAACGGCTGCCGGCCTGAGTAGACAATATTGATGTTGAGGAACCCAAGGTCTGATGCAATATAAGGCAACTTCGTTTGTGTTCCTCTTTAGGAGAGGGGCCATAGCTCAGTGGTAGAGCATCTGCTTGGCATGCAGGAGGTCCCAGGTTCAATCGCCGGCATCTCCAGTTAACAGACCAGGCAGCAGGTGATGTGAAACCTCTGCTGGAGACCCTGGGGAACGGCTGCCGGCCTGAGTAGACAATATTGATGTTGAGGAACCCAAGGTCTGATGCAATATAAGGCAACTTCGTTTGTGTTCCTCTTTAGGAGAGGGGCCATAGCTCAGTGGTAGAGCATCTGCTTGGCATGCAGGAGGTCCCAGGTTCAATCGCCGGCATCTCCAGTTAACAGGCCAGGCAGCAGGTGATGCGAAAGACCTCAGCCTGAGACCCTGGAGAGCCGCTCGCCCAGTCTGAGCAGACAACATTGGAGGAGGAGACTGGATATATATACCCCGCCCTACGCTACCTGAAGGCATCTCAGAGCTCCACAGCTTAGAGTGGCTTACAATCTCCTTTCCCCTCCCTACAACAGACACCCTGTGAGGTAGGTGGGGCGGAGAGAGCCCCGACTGAGAACTGTCCTTAAGAGAACTGCTCTGAGAGAACTTGTGACTGACCCAAGGTCACCCCAGCAGCTGCATGTGGAGGAGTGGGGAATCAAACCCGGTTCTTCCAGATCCAAGTCCACGCTCCTAACCACGACACCAGACTGGCTCTTTGATGGACCTAGGGTGGGACTCAGTATAAGGCAGCAGCTTGTGTTTATGTCCAAGTTCAAAACTGACATAAGAGAAGCCATTGTTGGATCAGGCCAGTGGCCCATCTAGTCCAACACTCTGCGTCACACAGTGGCCAAAAACACCAGGTGCCATCAGGAGGTCCAGCAGTGGGGTCAGGACACTAGAAGCTCTCCCACTGTTGCCCCGTCCCCCCAAGCACCAAGAATACAGAGCATCACTTGCCCCAGACCGAGAGTTCCTATCTATACCTTGTGGCTCATAGCCACAGATGGACCTCTGCTCCATATGTTTATCTAATTCCCTTTTGAAGCCGTCCGTGCTTGTAGCCGCCACCACTTCCTGTGGCAGTGAATTCCATGTGTGAATCACTCTTTGGGTGAAGAAGTACTTCCTTTTATCCATTCTAACCCGACCGCTCAGCAATTTCATGGAGTGCCCACGAGTTCTTGTATTGTGTCATGATCTGGGCTGTGCCACTAGAGGCCTACTAGGCCCAGGGAGCCTGGCTAGCAGTAGGTGAGGCTGGGCCTACAACTCCCAGAAGCCCCTGAGTGGTTTTGGAGCCAAAACTGACCAATAGGAAAAGAGGAGGGCTTGGAATAAAAGATCTGGAGCAGCAGGAAAAGCTGTTCTTCTTCCCTGGAGACAGTGCCAGGAGAGGCTGCTGTGGGGAAGAGACCCTCACCTTGAAGGAAGGGAGAGTAGTCTAGGGCCACTTGGAATAGTGAGCTAGGGACAGTATATATTTAGATGCGTTAGGGCATTTGATTTCATTTCTTTTCACCCACTTACTGTTATTATTCTGCACCTTGTTGTTTGACCTCTTATATAATGAACTATTTTCATTGTTCACTCTGCCTGGTGCTCATGCCTATTATTCATCCAAAATGGAGGTCAGGACGTCTTGGGAGGGTGCTCTGGGCCTTCTCAAGGGAACCTAAATCCAGAGTGGTGGCAGCGTCAGGTGACACCCCACCTGAGCCATGACAGTGGGACAGGGAGAAAAGTACCTCTTTCTCTGCCTGCTCTATCCCACGCATAATCTTATAAACCTCAATTGTGTCACCCCTCAGCCGTCATTTCTCCAAGCTAAAGAGCCCCCAAGCGCCTTAACCTTTCTTCATAGGGAAAGTGTTCCGACCCTTTGATCATTCTAGTTCCCCTTTTCTGCACTTTCCCCAATGCTATCATATCCTTTCTGAGGTGTGGTGACCAGAACTACAGATTGGAGCTACAGATCTCGCCATACCCCAGTCCCGACTTTTCAGACAGAGCAGGCCGAGCCCCACACTCTTGTATCACTCCACCGTCAACACGGCCTTTGTGGTTCACGCTTGCTTTAATGCCATGGGGCGGAGAAGCGGCCGGAGAGCTTCCACACCTTCATTCCCCGTCAAGTTGGGTTGGGGGTGCTCTCCACAAGCGCGGGCCCCTCCTTGTTGTTTGGCGCCCCTAACACGGGCGACTCTTGTGCCCCTTTGGGGCCCAGTTCCCGATCCAGGGGGTAGACCATGAAGATGACATCTCTCCAGGGCGGGAGGGCCGGATGATCGGGTTGAACGAGTTTGAAGCCCATATAGCCGAATGCCCGGAGGAGGTCACCTGCAGGGATGGAGGGAGGGCACAGTTACTCCCTGAAGAAGTGTGCGCGGGCATGGAAGCCTTACACCCTGTGAGCAATGCTCCCTCTAAGCTGCGGGGTCTTGTGAGCAAAAACTCTACTTTGTGAGCTACTGGCATTAAAGTTGTGAGCCGGCGATTTGTCTGCTGCATAAGTTAGCTTGCTCTGGAGCCACCCTTCCCGAGCGAAGACAAAAAGGTGTGAGCCGGAGGCTTAAAAACTGTGTGCTGCCTCACACTGACTCAGCTTAGAGGGAACACTGCCCAGAAGTAAACTTTGTTGGTCTTGAAGGTGCCACTGGACTCAGACTCGGTTAACCTGGGCTGTGTGCAGGTGGGGCAGTAAAACTCACAAGTGGACAACGCTAGGGTTGTGAGCACTGTATGTTTTCCAGTCTGGCTTAGATGTGGGACTAAAAGAGCCCTGGTCACCCTGGTGGATAGAATCATAAAGTTGGAAGGGACCTCCAGGGTCATCTAGTCTGACCCCCTGCACAAGGCAGGAAATTCACAAATACCTCCCCCCTCCACACCCTCACTGACTGCTGTTCCACGCCCAGAAGATGACAAAAAACCTCCAGGATCCCTGGCCAAACTGGTCTGGAGAAAAATTGTTTCCTGACCCCAAAGTGGCGGTCAGCATTTCCCTGGGCGTGTAAGAAAGGGCCATGAGAACTAAGCCCTGACGCAACCAATGCTCCCTCTAAGTTGTGGAGTCTTGTGAGCAAATATTCTACTTTGTGAGCTACTGTCATTAAAGCTGGGAGCGAGCGATTTGGCTGCTGCATGAATTAGTTTGCTCTGGAGCCCTCCCTTCCTGAGCGAAGACAGAAATATGTGAGTTGGATGCTAAAAAACTGTGAGCTAGCTTACACTCACTCGGCTTAGAGGGAACACTGGATGCAACCCTTCCTGCCCTCCTTCTCAGGATCTTCCTGAGTTCACAGGCTCAGCATGGCTGTCGGATGGCCGTCTAGCCTCAGCTTGAAAACCTCCAAAGAAGGAGAGCCCCCCCCCACCTCCCAAGGAGCCCTGTTCCACTGAGGAACTGCTCTGTCAGGAAGTTCTTCCTAATGTTTAGCCGAAAACGTTTTGAAACCTGAATCAAGATGGATGAAGAGAAGAGATTGGATTAGAGAAGAAGAAGAAGAGATTGGATTTATACCCTTCCCTTCCCTTCCCCTACCCACAACAGACACCCTGTGAGGTAGGTGGGGCTGAGAGAGTTCTTCACAGAAACTGCTCTTTTTCAAGAACAGCTCTTATCAGAACTACAGCTTGCCCAAGGTCATCCAGCCAGGTGCAAGTGGAGGAGTGGGGAATCAAACCCAGTTCTCCCAGACTAGAGTCCATGCTCTTAAGAAGAGAAAAGAAGAGATTGGATTTATCCCCCGCCCTTCACTACCCAAATGTGTCTCAGAGCGGCTTACAAACTCCTTGCCCTTCCCCTCCCCGCAACAGACACCCGGTGAGGTCGGCTCTTGACAGAAACGGCTGTTTTTCAAGAACAGCTCTTATCAGAACTACGGCTTGCCCAAGGTCATCCAGCCAGGTGCAAGCGGAGGAGTGGTGAATCAAACCCAGATTAGAGTCCATGCACTTAACCACTACACCAAACTGGCTCTCTGATTGGATTTATACCCCGCCCTTCACTACCCGAAGGTGTCTCAGAGCGGCTTACAAACTCCTTTCCCTTCCCCTCTCCACAACAACAGACACCCTGTGAGGTAGGTGAGGTAGTCCGCGCACTTAACCACTGCACCAAACTGAGCAGTGACTCACGAAAGCTCCTCCCCTGCCACAAATTTTGTTTGTCTTTCAGGGGCTCCTGGACTCTTGCTCTTTTCTGTTCCTACAGGCAGACTAACACAGATACCCATCTTGATCTACTACAACCAAGAAAGCCAGGGCTTGGTGCCTTGCCACGGCGCTCTTACCACGGTCAGATCGACATTTGTGGAAGTTGACAAACACCTGGTCCACGTCCGTTTCTTCTTCCACGTATTCCAGTGTCGCGGTCAGGCTACAGGCAGCAACAGCCGTAGGGGGCAAGAAAAAAGGTTTTTGTTAGGAAACGTACACGCACGCCCACCAGGCACTCCCAAACTGAGCCGATCCAAGGTGCGAAGGATAAATGACCATCCGAGGGCAGTGCTGATTCTGTGCTGATTCTGTGTCTCACTATGAATTTAGGCAGATCATGAGAGGGAGGGGGGAGGAAAGGATGAGCCAGTGCAGGGCTCTAGAGAGCCAGTGTGGTGTAGTGGTTAAGTGCGCGGACTCTAATCTGGGAGAACCGGGTTTGATTCCCCACTCCTCCACTCGCACCTGACTGGATGACCTCGGGCAAGCCATAGTTCTGATAAGAGCTGTTCTTGGAAAAGAGCAGTTTCTGTCAGAGCTCTCTCAGCCCCACCGACCTCACAGGGTGTCTGTGGTACGGAGAAGGGAAGAAGATTGTAAGCCGCTCTGAGACACCTTTGGGTTGTGAAGGGCGGGGTATCAATCCAATCTCCTCCTCCTCTCCTCCTTCTCCTCTTCTTCTTCTTCTTCTTTATTATATGCCCAGGGCAATGAAGAAGAAAAGAAGAATTTATATCCCGCCCTTCACTACCTGAAGGACTCTCAGAGCGGCTTACAATCTTCTTCCCTTCTCCGTACCACAGACACCCTGTGAGGTCGGTGGGGCTGAGAGAGCTCTCTCGAGAACTGCCCTTGAGAGAACAGCTCTGAAGGAACTTGTAACTGACCCAAGGTCACACCCGCAACTGCATGTGGAGGAGTGGGGGAATCAAACCTGGCTCTCGCAGATTAGAGTCTGTACTCCTAACCACTACACCAAACCGGCTATCAATGCCGATTGCCACTTTGGGGTTCAGGAAGAAATTGTCCTCCAGGCCAGATTGGCCCAGAGGTCCCGGAGGTTTTGTTGAACAACAACAACTTGGCATAGAGCAAGGATCGCTGGGGGGAAAGCTGTGAATTTCCTGCATTGTGCAGGGGGTTGGGCTAGATGATCTTTGGGATCCCTTCTAGCTCTGTGGTCTCGATTTTCCCAGGAAGCAGCTTCTAGGAGTCTGATTTTGACTGGAACAGTGACACTGCAGAAGGAGATGGTGCCATTTCCTGACCTAACTGCTCCCCAGGCAGTCCCGTAGCTAGGATTTCCCTCCCGGAAGGCATTTAAATTTTTAAGGGGACTTAAGAGAGCATGCACCTTTAAAAAAATGTAAAAAGAAAGATTTTAAAAGCATTTTGAGGATACATTCCTCTGGGGCTGTGCCTGCAATAAAAAAGGGCCAACGCCATGCTGGGGATTATTAGGAAGGGAACTGAAAACAAATCAGCCTGTATCATAATGCCCCTGTATAAATCGATGGTGCGACCCCATTTGGAGTACTGTGTGCAATTCTGGTCACCACACCTCAGAAAGGATATTATAGCCTTGGGGAAAGTGCAGAAAAGGGCCACTAGAATGATAAAAGGGTTGGAACACTTTCCCTATGAGGAAAGGTTAAAGCGCTTGGGGCTCTTTCGCTTGGAGAAACGACGACTGAGGGGTGACATGATCGAGGTTTTCATGATGATGCATGGGATAGAGCAGGTTGAGAAAGAAGTACTTTTCTCCCTTTCTCCCCATACAAGAACTCGTGGGCACTCCATGAAATTGGTGAGCAGTGGGGTTAGAATGGATAAAAGGAAGTCCTTCTTCACCCAAAGAGTGATGAACACGTGGAATTCACTGCCACAGGAGATGGTGGCGGCTAGAAGCACGGGTGGCTTCAAGAGGGAATTAGATAAGCATATGGAGCAGAGATCCATCCATGGCTATTAGCCACAAGGTATCGATAGGAACCCTCAGGCTGGGGCAAGTGATGCTCTGTATTCTTAGTGCTGGGGGGGGGCAAGAGTGGGAGGGCTCCTGGTGTCCTGGACCCACTGCTGGACCTCTTGATGGCACCTGGTATTTTTGGCTACTGTGTGATACAGAGTGTTGGACTAGATGGACCATTGGCCTGATCCAACATTGGCTTCTCTTATGTTCTTATGTTCTTTCAGTATGGGGGCGGTGCCCCAAATAGCCCCGCTGTAGCTATGGGCCTGTCCCCAGGCCAGGCAGAGGGTCAGGTGGGTGTTAAGAGATGCTGCAGTCCTTGCTCACCTGTCCCGGCTGCAGCGTTCCAGGAGCTGGTGAGGGGTGTCGAGGACGAGCGTGCGCCCTTGCAGTACGCCGTGCCAGTGAGCAGTACCCTGGGTGCCGAGCTTGAAATGGAAGTCCAATTGAACTGAGCTGTCAGAAGGCTCACGGTCCCCAGCGAGAACAGTCAGATTCCCAGCCTGTTGGAGAGAAGAACATTCCTGTTGAACCTGGAAGCGATGCCATCATGCCCTCAACTCCATTCCTCGCCACCACATCCCCACCCGCAATCCTCCCCACTGGTTGTTGGGCTCGGCCTAGCAACCCTATCCGTACAGCACCTAACACCACGACACACGGTGAGTGGTGGCAGTTTAACAAACAGAGGCATTAACTTGAATTAACGGGGCCGTTTTTTGTTCACCCCCAGGCAAAGAAACGGCTCACCTTGTATACTTCTTTTAGGTTCGCAGTCTCTCCTTCGGTGGTCCTTCCCCTGGCCGGGCAACCGCCCTCGAACTCAGGAACACTGCGGGCAGTGACGGGGCCTGGTACTCAAGCACTCAGCCTGGGTAAGGGTTGCGCTTGGGTGAAAAAGAAGAGAGGGGGAAAACACGGATGACTATTTTAAGCCTCGCTTCTTCTCAGGAAAGCAGATTGTGGCCTACAGCAATGTGAACAGAAGGGAGCAGCAGGCAAGACCCTTGACGTGATTCGCCTCGACAGGAGTGAACCTTCCATCTTGGCCGCTGAGCCGCCATTTTGTTGTGTGTGTCTGAGGGGAAAGCTGAGAGCTAGAATTTGGAAGAAGAGGTGCTCATGACCTGAACTTGAATGTCAAATGAAAAACGCAGAACTAGTTTTCCATTTTGGAGATGGTAAGAAGACTCCCTGAGGTGATTTCTTTTAAAAAGTATGTATTTTCTGTGGTAAATATTTCCTCCTTGGGAACCCCCACGTGCTGGGAGTCGGTATCAACCAGAGGTCATTTCGGGGGGGATCGCGGGGGATCGCAGTTCCCCCGGGTGAGGTACGGGGGCGGGGCACATGACAAAGCCCCGCCCCCTGCTTCCGGCCGCCTCGCTTCCGGCCCTCATTCAGCCAGGAGGAGGCAGGAGAAGAGGGAGGGTAAGTTGCTTCCTCCCTGCCTCTCCCCACCCCTGCCTGCCTGGGGCCAGGGAGGGCCTTCGCGGGGCTTCCTTGCACTCCCGCCGGCCTTGCAGGTCCACCGCCGGGCCCCTCATGGGGCTCAGCAGTGGAGCTGCAAGGCCGGCGGCGGCAGCCAGGACCGTTGGGGCAGGGTGTGTGGCCTTATGACACACTTCCGGTGATGTCAGGGGGTGTGGCATCTGCTAATGAGTTATGCTAATGAGTTCCCCTAGATCTTTTTCTACAAAACGACCCCTGGTATCAACAATGCATGATTTGTGCTGGCATCGGCAAACGCTATCCTCTACTTGCCACAGGAAGTGTGCACATGTTCCCTGCGTGTCGGTGTTGCCACCTTCCAGGTAGAGTCTGGAGATCTTGCAGAATTGCAACCAATGTTCCCTCTAAGCTGTGGGGTCTTGTGAGCAAAAATTCTACTTTGTGAGCTACTAGCATTAAAGTTGTGAGCAAGAGATTGGGCTGCTGGATAAACTAGTTTGCTCTAGAGCCATCCCTTCCTGAGCCAAGACAAAAATGTGTGAGCCAGAGGCTCAAAAACTGTGAGCTAGCTCACACTAACTCAGCTTAGAGGGAACACTGATTGCAACTGAGAAAATGGCTGCTTTTAAAGGGTGCTTTTAAATACCCGACTGAGTCCCCACCACCACCCCATCTCAGGCCCCACTCTCCAAATCTCCAGGCATTTCCCAACCCAAAGTTGGCAGTCCTGCCCTGAGCGTTTGTTTAAAAAGAAAAAAAAAGCCCTTAGTTTAACTTCCCGGAGGAGTCCGGGACTACAGGGAGGCCAGGTTGGGCTTTAAACTTTAAAGGTAAGTGCTTACCTTTAAAGTTTAAAGGTAATGGGGGGGGGTTGAGCATGCACAAAGATCGCCATTCTCTGAATGGCTGCCTATGTGCATGCTCAAACTGTGCTTTAAAAAAAAAAAAAAACGTCGACGCCCGCAGCGTGTGAGCGGGCGTCCAACGGAGGGATCCGGAAGATGGAGGTAAGTGTGATCACGTTTCTGTCGGCATAAACTGCACCAGTTCCAACCGGTGCAGTTTATGCTGGCAGAAACGCCCCGTCTGAACGCACCCAGAGTGTTGGACTGGATGGGCCTTTGGCCTGATCCAACCTTGGCGTCTCTTATGTTCTTATGTTCTTAAAATGCGGTATGAATGAGAATGAGGTTTTGAGAAACACACAGAGGGGGCAGGATTGTTCCCGAAGTTCTGCAGATCTCTTTTTTACAGAATAAATGGGGAAAAGTCTTATTTCTTTTGAGACCAAGGGAGCGCGCGGAGTCTTTCTCAAGGAAAAGTGATTTTAACTGCAAGGCCAAGTGAAGCCCATTTGCACATCTGAAGGGCGGATTTTGTCTGGGGGTTTCCCCCCTGTAACAATTCACATTCCGTAAAAGCCGAGTCTAAGTCGGAGTTGAAGATTTCATGAGCACGTTTTTCTAGAGCAAACTTGGGATAGTGCCATGTCTTGGACAAAACAGCGCCATCCTCTTAGATTACTCGCTCTGTGTAATGGAGAAGGGCCCAGTGCCAGGTTGGCATCAGTCAGGGTCACTACTTGGTTCCTATTTCACTAATCCAAGTAGTAGCAGCCTGAATGGTCCATGCTTCGAGGAGGAGGAGAAGACTGGATTTATACCCCGCCCTTCACTACCCAAGGGAGTCTCAGAGCGGTTTACAAACTCCTTTCCCTTCCCCTCCCCACAACAGACACCCTGTGAGGTCGGCGAGGCTGAGAGAGCTCTTGACAGATACTGCTCTTTTTCAAGAACAGCTCTTGTCAGAACGAAGGCTTGCCCAAGGTCATCCAGCCAGGTACAAGTGGAGGAGTGGGGGAATCAAACCCGGTTCTCCCAGATTAGAAGAAGATGAGATTGGATTTATAGCCCGCCCACTACCCAAAGGAGTCTCAGAGTAGCTTATAAACTCCTTTCCCTTCCCCTCCCCACAACAGACACCCTTGTGAGGTAGGTGGGGCTGAGAGAGCTCTTGACAGAGACTGCTTGTAATGTATTCAGGCGCGAGTGGAGGAGTGGGGAATCAAACCCGGTTCTCCCAGATTAGAGTCCGCACACTTAACCACTGCACCAAACTGGCTAAGCCGAGTCATCCCTGGTTAGTATGTGGATGGGAGACCGCTGACAAAGACCAGGGCTGCTCTGCAAATGTAGGCAATGGCAAACCGCCTCTGCTCATCTCTCTCGCCCTGATAACACCATGACAGGTTGCCATCAACTGGCAGAAAGTTGACTGCACTTCATTTTTATTGATCCGCCCTGAGCCTGCTTCAGCAGGGTATAAATGAAATAAATAAATAGCTTAATCAGTAAAACCCGTCGGGTTTTCAAGGCAAGAGATGTTCAGCGGTGGTTTGCCATTGCCTGCCTCTGTGTAGCAAACCCTGGACTTCCTTGGTGGTCTCCCATCCAAGTACTAACCAAGGCCGACCCTGCTTGGCTTCCCAAGATGAGACAAGATAGGGCCAGCCTAACCAATTAAGCTCAGAGTAGCCGTGTGTGTGACTGAGGGGAACCTCCACATTCAGAGGCACTAAACCTCTGAATCCCAGAGCCAGGGGGCAACATCAGGAGAAGGCCTCGTCCTCAGTGCCCTGCTGTTGGCCACTGTGTGAGATTGGATGCTGGGCTAGATGGACCACTGATCTGACCCAGCATGATGTTCTTCTCAGGACAAGGCCTCGGCCTCTCTGCCCTGTTGCTGGTCCTCCAGAGGAACTGGCTGGCCACTGTGTGAGACAGGATGCTGGACTAGATGGACCCTCACTGGTCTGACCCAGCAGGGCTCTTCTGGTGTCCTTATCAGGGGAAGGCCTCAGCCTCTCTGCCCTGTTGTTGGCTCTCCAGAGGAACTGGTTGGCCACTGTGTGAGACGGGATGCTGGACTAGATGGACCACTGGTCTGACCCAGCAGTGCTCTTCTTAGGTTCTGATCAAGGGAAGGCCTCGGCCTCTCTGCCCTGTTGTTGGCCCTCCAGAGGAACTGGTTGAGGCCCCTGTGTGAGACAGGATGCTGGACTAGATGGACCCTCACTGGTATGATCCAGCAGGGCTTATCTTAGGTTCTCATGAAGGCCTCGTCCTTTCTGCCCTGTTGTTGGCCCTCCAGAGAGACTGGTTGGCTACTGTCTGAGACAGGATGCTGGGCTAGATGGACCACTGGTCTGATCCAACAGGGCTCTTCTTATGTTGTGACTCTGTGGCATTATTATTTATTTTTAAAAACATTTTTCTGCTGTCTTTCCACCCCACCAGGATCCCCAAGCAGCAAACATAAGAACATAAAACACTTAAAATGTTTAAAATTTCAAATGATAAAATAATTCAATAAAAACACACAAACAAACAACACCAGAATTAGGGAAGGAGGGTCACCATTATTAAGGGTCTGAGTATGCCAAACAAAAGCAAAAATTCTTCACCTGTTGGCGCAAGACTCCGATAGAGGGAGACAGATGAACCTTCCTGGGGAAAGGAATTGCAGAGGTTTGGGGCCACGATGGAGAAAGCCCTTTTTTAGGTTGGTAACCCATCTAGCTTCAAATGGCAGGGGCAACTGAAACAGGGCCTCTGAAAATGACTGGTGTAAATGGGTAGGTTCATTAAGCTCCACCACCCATTCTCCCGGAATTTCCCAACCTGGAGTTGGCAACCTCTGGTATGTACCTCAAAGAGCATTACAGTCCACTGCAAACAATCTACGGAAGAAGAGGAGGGGGAGGAGGAGATTGGATTTATACCACGCCCTTCACTACCCGAAAGAGTCTTGGAGCGGTTTACAATCCCCTTCCCCTCCCTACAACAGACACCCTGTGAGGTAAGTGGGTCTGAGAGTGCTCTCTCGAGAACTGACTTCGAGAGAACAGCTCTGAAAGAACTTATGACTGACCCAAGGTCACACCAGCTGGCTGCATGTGGAGGAGTAGGGGAATCAAACTTGGTTTCCCCATGTTAGAGTCCATGCTCTTAACCGCTAAACCAACTGGTGATCCTCCATCTCTTTTCCATTGTCTCCTCCTTCCCCTGCCTGCGAGACAACACCATCTAGAACTAGCTCAGGGCAATCTTATGCGCCATCGGAGAGTTGTTTTAAATGTAAGGTAAAGGTAAAGGTTCCCTTGCTCGAAAGCCAGTCAAATCCGACTCTAGGGTTGCGGTGCTCATCTCTGTTTCAAAGCCGAAGAGCCAGCGCTGTCCAAAGACGTTTCCGTGGTCATGTGGCCGGCATGACTAAACACCAAGGCGCACGGAACGCTGCTCCCTTCCCACTTAAGTGGTACCTATTTATCTACTTGCAATTTCTTGCTTTCGAACTGCTAGGTTGGCAGGAGCTGGAACTAGAGACGGGAGCTCACTCCATCATGCGGCACCCGGGTCTCAAACTGCTGAACTACTGACCTTTCGCAGCCTGCAGTTCAGCGTCTTAACCACTTGAGCCACCGCAGCTCCTTGTTTTAAATGTACTGAATATTTTATATTATAGTATAATTTATATTATGTTATATTATATAATTTATAATAATTTTAATGTTGTTCTGATGTATTTTATCTTATCGTTGTTCATCGCCCAGAGCCCTGTGAACTCAGGGACTGGGTGATCTATAAATCCAAAGCATAAACAAACCAACCAACCCAGGCAGGCGGTGATTTATCTAGAGTTCCGTGGTTCCGAAAATCTGGATTGACCAGGAGAAACAGGACTTTGGCACCGTAAACCAGCCGTGCTCATCTTCACAGGGGAAATTATCCACTCGCTTCCTCCCAAGGAACCCCACCAGAGACACCCCACTTACCTGCCTGGAGGAAAGATAACTATTTTAAATAAATACCTCCTGTCGAAGGGTGTCATTTTCCACTGGTATTTAAGGCGGCGCTTGTGAGAGATAGCTGAAACAGGGGGAGACTCGAACGGGTAAAGGCAGCTTGTGTCTTCCCCCTCTTGATTGAAGAAAGGGAGAAGGTATTTGCGTGGTCCCGGGTCTGCAAGGTTTCTTCGGCCCGATGCCGTCCCCCTTTGCAAAGTCAGCCCGGAAACCCACCCACTTAAGTACTCCGGGGACCCATTGTGATGTATCTGGGTCTCTCATGGCAACGAGGATGTACAACAGTCGTAATTGTGACCGGTTGGTCTTCCTCCACTCTTGGTTACAAGTAACACTCTCCCTAACCCCAGCAGTTATGTCTTTACTAGGGTTGCCAAGTCTGGGTTGGAAAATACCTGGAGACTTTGGGGACGGATCCAGGAGAGGGTTGGGAGGGGCCTTGGCATGGTCCAATGCCACGGAGTCCACGCTTCAAAGCAGCCATTTCCTCCAGGGGGTCGCGTCAAGAACGGGAGCTCACGGAACAGGCTGAACTTGGCAAGGGAAAAACAACCGTGATACGATAACGAAATCTTGTTAGGAAAAATATATATCTTCTTTAATTATGATATGTTGGGTGATAGTGAGATATTGGAAAAATGGTATTTAGCAGAGATAATATAGCCCAGCAGAGCCTGAGTAAAATAATTCAGACTGAGAGTCCATGTGTGATTAAAATATAACGTTTTTACTAAATTCTAGCATGGGGAAAGGTAACTGGGATGAAAATAACAAAAGAGCATAATCGGCTACATCCTTACACTACAAAGACAAAACTAGAAGAGAGAATGGCTGCTCTCCTTCTTCAGAACACCAAAAACAAAGACAGAAAGAAAAGCCATAAAATGGTAATACACCTTGACACTTTAGTCCCAATCAAATTCCTAGATCAGGGAGAAAATTCCCGGGCTTCCTACATCTGAAGAACATTGGTTACATGAGAAACGTGACTTCCCGTGAGTGACATAAAACAAACATTTAACCCCAGATATACTGAGTGTTTTCAACTTGTAATACCCAACATGATATGATCCCAACAAGATTTCGTTATCATATCACGGTTGTTTTTTCCTTTTTTGTTGTTCAGTCGCATAGTCGAGTCCGACTCTTCGCGACCCCATGGACTAGATCCCGCCAGGCCTTCCTGTCTTCCGCCGTCCTCTGAAGTTGGCTCAGTTTCATGTTCGTTGCATTGATGACACTGTCCAACCATCTCATCCTTTGCCGTCCCCGTCTTCTTTGACCTTCAATCTTTCCCAGCATCCTTACTAAGGTCATTTTCTCCAGGGGAGCTGATCTCTGTCAGCTGGAGATCAGTTGTAAAAGCAGGAGATCTGGCAACCCTAGTCGCTGCAATTTCAGATTTAAACCGGTTTCAAACCAGTTCAGCCGGGCTGGCTCCTAAGCGAGAAACTCTGGGAATTCACGGCCTGCGAGGCCTTCCGATTTCTGTCACCAGGAGTTTGCCGGTCAGTCTCCGGTTTCTTGCAGCCCCCCCCCCCCACCGTCATGGTAATCAAACCCTTTCAGAGCAGTTTGTCAGGCAGAATAATAACTGATAATATTTATTGTTTATAGTGTGCTCTGCTGCCCTTGCTGTGCAAAATTCGGGGAGACTAAACTGGGCGGCTGGGTGCAGGTTGACAACTGAAAATGGTTTCGCTGCAAGTTGGGGCTGAGTAATTCATATTGTTAATGATGTATAGCAGGGGTGTCAAATATGCGGCCCCGGGGGCTGGATCAGGCCCCTGGAGGGCTTCCATCAAGCCCGCGGTGGAACTGGCCATCTCCTGCTTCCAGTTCTGCTGCTGCTGCAGCATCATCGCTTGCTTCGCCAGACTCTCTCGCTCAGCCATTTCGTGTTTTAACCTGGGTCCTAGTCTCAGAACTCTGAGCCTGAGATTTCTGTGGTGAATGGTCGATAAATCAAAAGTAGGCTTGCAGCTTACTTTAAGCATGTTTTAAGCATGTTTTTTTATCTTAAGTTAAAAAAACCTCTTTGTGTTTGTGCCCTTTATCAAGCTTATATCTCCGCTACCTGGCACTACATCTTATGACACACGTGGCTCAACCCAACAAGGTCTCATTTGTGTCAGATCCGGCCTTCATAACAAATGAGTTCGACACCCCTGATGTATAGTGCTTTCCTTTAATCGGGGGGGGGGGGGGGCTGACACAGGGTTGCCAGCCTCCAGGTGGGGCCTGGGGATCTCCCGCTTTTACAACTGATCTCCAGCTGACAGAGATCAGCTCCCCTGGAGAAAACGGCTGCTTTGAAGGGGGGACTCTACGGCATTGGACCCTGCTCTGTATCCCTCCCCAAGCCCCACCCTCTCCTGGATCCACCCCCAAAGCCTCCAGGTATTTCCCAACCCAGACCAGGCTACTGTTTGATGCAACCTGTGTCCCTAGCAATGTTCCCTCTAAGCTGTTGGGTCTTGTGAGCAAAAATTCTACTTTGTGAACTACTGGCATTAAAGTTGTGAGCCAGCGATTTGGCTCCTGCATGAGTTAGTTTGCTCTGGAGCCCTCCTTCCTGAGCTGAGACAAAAATATGTGAGCCAGAGGCTAAAAAACTGTGAGCTAGCTCACACTAACTCAGCTTAGAGGGAACACTGGTCCCTAGCCGTGCTTTTCCCCGCCCAATTTGAGAAAAACACACGCAGCAGTTCTGTAGAGAGGAAAACACTAAAATATTTATTAATAAAAGAGAGTACAGGTATCAGGGTCTGGAACCCCTGAATACCCAACAGACTCTTTGAGTGTTACAAAGGGTGGCATGGAATCTTATACTCAGTGTGTTACATAAGCAAGTGAAACCTTGTTATTGGTTCCATCAAACATCAGCACTCTGACCTTACAGGTCTCTGCTTGGCGGAAAGCCTTTTGGGCCGGGCTTTCCCAAGTACAGTCCATTCTACCCAGGGGTCACTTCCTGCGGGAGCGCACAGGAGTGGAGCTCCGGCAGTAAGGAGCCCAGGGGGGCGGGCACATGCAACAAGCCCCGCCCCCTGCTCCCAGCGGCCCTCAGGTGGGCCACGAGGCGCAAGAAGCAGCCAGGTACCCCGCGAATGGCAGACACATCCTCGGGTCGCTCCCGAGGGCGTCTCGCCCGCCCGTGGTGGAGGAGGGAATCCGCGCGAGCGGAGACCCGAACGAGCCCCTCAGATGAGAGGAGCTCGGATCCGGGGCGCTTTAGGGCGTTCCAGGGGGGAGTCTCTCTTTCAGTCGAAAGATCGGAGATTGAGACTCTCGCCATGCCCTGCCCCTTTGGACCTTGCTGCGTGAGCGACCCCGTTCTACGGGGTTTAGCGGAACCACCGGGCGTCCCCGAGTGATGAAGCGAATATCCGAAAAAATGGAAAAGAAAAGACTGGCGTAACTGTGAGTTGTCAAAATACAGAGAAAAAGAACTAAGAACGTTTCCCCCCCCCCTTCAGCGGAAAATGAGGAGGTTA